CCGCCACCTTAGGTGTATGTGGCTGGCGCCTTAGCCACTAGAGCCATAGGCGCCGAGCCAGCTGTAGAAAATTTGACATCAGAATATACTTAGAACTTGGCTTTGTGTGTGTGAGATCAGATTTGTAGCTGGGGCTTATGCTCAGTTCAAGTGTTTATTCTTTGTTATAAAGCTATCTTTTTTGCTGGGATTATCTCTGTTCTCAGCAGTTAGTCACAACTGCTTACTTCTCTTTTTTATTTTCAATATAGTTATCCCCAACTATTTGTGGCTGGGATGTTATCTGGTGTATTCACCACAGGAATTATGACCCCTGGAGAACGGATCAAGTGTTTATTGCAGGTAAGGGTATGATCTGGGGGGAGGTGGCTAGCTTTTTCCATTCAGTGTACAATTATGTGTGCATGTTTATGTCCTTTCACCCTTTATAAAGGCTTCAGGTCAGGTGTGCAAAACAGTTTCAAGGTTTTCAGAAACGTGGAAGCAATCCTAGTAGAATCAAGAAAAGGACAGTATAATAAACCAACCAAAATGTCACATCTGTGACGCATCAGCCCAGACCTATCCACACTTATTAGCAGCCACTTCAGGAACTCTCAAAGGTGAGTTATGTCTCATCTGAAGTAGAAGGGAGGCTGCTCCTGCCCAAGATGTTATATCAATTGCATGTCTCTATCAATTGCACAAAAGCTCTGCGCCTGTATACTCTGTTTTTATAACTTTATAATTTTAAGAATGTTATAGCCATATGTTGTGGTTCTTGCCTGTAATCACAGCTATTCGGGAGGTTGAGGTAGGAGGATTGCTTGACGCCAGGAATTTGGGACCAGTCTGGGCAATTTAGAGAGACTTTCATCTCTAAAATAAATAAATAAATAATAAAAGAGGATGTTATATAAGTGGAAACATGTACTATATAAACTTTTCTTTCTTCTTTTCTTTTTTATAGAGACAGAGTCTCACTTTATCACCCTCGGTAGAGTGCTGTGGCATCACACTGCTCACAACAACCTGCAACTCCTGGGCTTAGGTGATTCTCTTGCCTCAGCCTCCCAAGTAGCTGGGACTACAGGCGCCTGCCACAA